CAAAGTTCTAAACGGACACAATCCTCCTGCGTCATAAGCCATGTGTTCTTAGCCATTTATCACCCAACTCAACTGCTAAAGTTAGATGATCTCTCCACATGCAACGTCATGGGTCACATTATGGTAAACTTCTAGGAAGCTGGGGTTGCACAGAAATTCCGTGCGAATTCGTCAGCGCAGCCGGTGACACCGTTGGAGGCGTCCGTTTACTGGGAACCTGACCGTGACCGTCTATCAGTGGTTAACGGCCGACCTATAAAAGCGAAAGCACCAAGGGAGCAGACACCACTTGCACTGCACACCAGGCCATCAGAACACACTATGCAGGTATGTGCTGGAATGATACCATTGATATGGTGACCTGTTGGCTACTAGAGAGTTTGTTTCAAACCAAGTACACTGTGGGTTTAGCTATTAGACATGCACTGCACGGATGGTGAGGCTATGAGATATATCGTAGAAAAACTGCGTCATTAAAATGGCCGCCTGATCCGTCATGTATCCTCCACGGCATTGCAGGGTTTCGTCATTGCCGCCGTGCTGGCTGTCGCCGCCGCCGCCCCGGCGCCGGAGACGCCGGGCTACAAGCCCGCTCCGGCCCAGTACCACCCGGCCACCTCCTACAAGCCGGCCTCCTACCACCCGGAGCCCCAGTACAAGGAGGAGGCCAAGCCGTTCGCATATGACTACGCCGTCAACGACCACTACACCGGCACCAACTTTGCCAAGAAGGAGCAGAGCGATGGCCACAGCACCCAGGGATATTACTCGGTGGCTCTGCCCGACGGCCGTGTCCAGCACGTCAAGTACGTCGTCGACAACTACGGCGGCTACAACGCTGATGTCACCTACGAGGGAGAGGCCCAGTACCCCGAATACCACCCCGCCCCTGCCTACAAGGCTGCTGCCCCGGCCTACAAGCCTGTCCACAAGCCTGCTTACAGCCATTCCACCCCGGCATACAAGCCTGCGACGTACTAGTTACAGAGTTAGAACATGAATATATGTACGCCGGGGTACGCCGTTCTCTCTATATATATCGCATAAAGTCACATCACAACGCACAGCTTCAAAACGCCAACACAACTTGCTCGCTCCTAATACGTCACACCCGGCTTAAAGCTCGGGGCAGCCGTCTTATGAGAGGACTTGTAGGCAGAGGTCGAGGACTTGTGCGGAGAGGGCCTCTGGTTTGTCTACCGGGACAACAGATGTGTAGGTCTGGGGCAGCAGATGTGTAGGCCGGGGCAGCAGATGTATAGGCCGGGGCAGCAGATGTGTACGCCGGGGTAGCAGTTGTATAGGCCGGGGCAGCAGATGTGTAGGCCAGGGCAGCAGATGCGTAGGCCGGGAGGGCAGGGGGGTAGGAAAGAGAAAGAGCAGTGTACGCGGGGGCAGCAGACTTCAAGTCAGGCTGATGGGCCTGGGCAGTGGTCTGGTAAACAGGTGCAGTTGCCTGGTAAGCAGGGGCAGCTGTCCCGTATGTTGGGGCAGCAGGCTTAAAGGTGCGCTTGTAGGCTGGAGTGGTAGCCTTGTAGGACAGAAAAGTGGGCTGGTAGGCAGCGGTGACGGCTGGCTGATGGACGAGAGTAGCGGCCCTGTTCGCGGGCTTGTAAACATTGGCAGCAGACTTGTAGGCCGGAGCAGCAGCCTTGTAGGCGGGAGCGGGGTGGTACTCGGGTACTGGGCTTCTCCCTCGTAGGTGACCTCGGCGTTGAAGCCACCGTACTTGTCGGCGACGTACTTGACGTGCTGGATGCGGCCGTCTGGCAGAGCCACCGAGTAATATCCCTGGGTGTTGTGGCCGTCGTTCTCCTCCTTCTTGACGAAGTTGGTGCCCGTGTAGTGGTCGCTGACGGCGTAGTCGTATGCGAACGGCTTGGCCTCCTCCTTGTACTGGTACTCCGGGTGGTATGACGGGGAGTCGGGAGCCGGTGCAGCGGCGACGGCGGCGGCCAGGGCGGCGACGGCGACGAGGACCTGAAGGTGGAAATGCAGTCCGTTATACCCACTGAAATGCATTCCTGATCGGGACTGATATCGTGTCTTGAAGTGGTTTTGAGAAGTTCCTCGTAACTAGATTGCTCCTGTACTTATGATCCATAACCTGAATTTGAAATCTCATTCACTTTGTATGCATGCAAATGCAGATGAGATGACCACCATAGCGACCAATACCGTACTTCTAGTTGAACCTCTGGTGCATACCGTCATGCTACAAGCTTTGATGGCGGAGAATGCAGTGCGACTGATACCTTCTGCACAATGTCTTCGTTTTTAAGCGCCAGCTCCAAGCCGCTGATGGCCTGAGGTCACGGTCCGATCCCTCCGCATGCGACCGTTTGGCGATGGACCGTCAGCTGGGCTCTCACGGCCACTCCCTGTTGGTCACGCCCGTCTCCGCACCCGGCGACCCTGCGGCCGCTGACCCGTCTCAGTTGCAGCAGCCTCGGGCGCTTACCGCTCTACCCAGACCCATGACACCGAGCTAGGACTTCGCGCGCAGAGGTTTGGGAATGGATGTTGAGGGTCGAAACGGTAGCTTAACATAGAAACCAATAACAGGGCGTGATTGGTTGCAATGCGAAATACATAACATGTAATATCTGCAAGAACCGTTTCTGAATAGCCCTGCGGCCCGTCTGATGCAAAGGGCAAGCTGCCCAGCACAACTCACTGTGCAGTGTAGAAAGAACATGTAGAATCATCAAAAATGCACCTCAAGTATGAAAGTGGACGGAAAAGCCAGCTGATTGACACAAATTGTCACTTCCTGTGGATACCGTGTGTGCGGAAGTAAAAACAGTGAATGCGGAATTTCATGAAGAACCATGGACTCGCTGCTCAGGCATCATGCCCATCGTGGCTCCGTTTTCCCTGCAATTTGCATTGTCCTGTCATTACCAAAGGCCTTGCTTTTTTAGCACAAGAGGATCAAGCTGTTTATAGCAGTTCTGGCAAAACCACTAGAGGCTGAAAACTGCGAGGACAAAGTATCACACATGACGGAACAGACACGTCAGATCGGATGCTGCAGAGACCGGTATGGATTTAGTCTGGTATTTTCCAATCCATCCAGGCCTTATCTCTCTGATCCCCTGGCAAGGTGTGAGACATGATCCACAGATCATCTATACCAAGTGAAGGAATTGTAATAATTTTCGTCACCGGCATGCTGGGATAACAAACAAGGCCAGGGATGCAGCGTATGGGAGAGATCTCACAGACCCTCCGGACCGGCGCTACAAGTGGTGAAAGGCGGATGTGGAGGGTGCCAGGTCTCCTTTTCCGCTTGCCATTGAAAAACATAGCCTTTTGTCGCTTTTTGAAGGTTGTGAAAATTCCATCGCGCCCATACTCGATATTGCGTCAAGCTTTGCACAGCGTCAGCCAGCTGAAAATCTATTTTTTTAGTATAACTTATTAGATATAGCATACCACGGCCACACCACGCCAGCCGTGTGTTAGATCATTGCTAACTCAAGGTCCCCAACCCATCAGCTGTAGCTTTCTTCGCCCAGTTGCCAAACATTAACACACGCTCGGGAAAGGTCTTCTCCCCGCCACCAATTTTTAGCGGAATAGGTTTTGAACGGCGGCCAGGTCAGGCCGTCGACGTTAAGATTGGGTCATATAGTTCAACTCAAGATGGGTCGGCGGGTGGCAATGCCTTTTTACATTTTTCCGATGTGAGCAAACTTTCAGGGTGTATGGAGTGACCAACTACACTTCTGAGCGTTTGTGTTTATCTGTATGAATATTTATTGGTCCATGCCCATCGATTCAATATAGCTTTGCAACAGACTAATTTTGGCTACGAAAAGCGTATTGGGTGCGAGGAGGAGACGGATATATCAAACTTTTTTTCTGATTGAAACAGGAAGCCCTTCACATGTGTTCTAGAAAAAAGGCCAAATCACATCAGGATTATAATTTTGGACGAAAAATGCGAATGATGATGGATAAGCGATGGGCTTGATCATTTTCTTTCCAATGTGTCGCTCTCAAACAACGCTCTCCACATCTAGTTGTGATTTCAATATTCGTAGGTTCACTGCATAAGCCACACATTTCACTCCGGTCACTGTTCATTTCGTTTCGCGGACGAATTCTTTGTACCAGATTGAGGCTACAGTCTTTTGCCAATATTTTTACAACAAAGAATTCGTAGTCGCGCAGCGTGGCGGTCAGCGACAGATCAAGGAAGCTGCAGTATTCCATTTGCTTGGGATGTGTATATATGTTCAATGCTCGGTATCGCTGTTATTGTGGTTTGGTTATTGGTTTATTTAGTACGTGATCATTCCACAGACAAAAGCCCTATTATGGAAGCAGCAGAATTTACAATATACGATTTTATAATTCACACACCAGCAAAAACCCTAACCCAGCGCGCGTGCGCGCGCGCGTGCACACACACACACACACACACACACACACACACACACACACATTACACACAGTCGCACATCAAGTCATCAAGAGAATGTTCGACGCGTGCCGGCGAACCTAAGCAAATAGGGCTGGAATAATTTTGTTGGAAGAAAAACGTCAGTGAAGAACACTGAAAAAAAAAATTGTAAACAGCGAGTGAGCATGCGACAAATCCACTTTTAACAGTGTTGACCCTTGCCAATAACTCGTTGAAAAGGTTAATATGCCGCGAACGCCAGCCGGGTGTAGCCAGACTGAACAGTGACGTCAAGTTAACGCAGCAACCGTTTCCCTGACTACGAAAACTAAACCAATACGTGGAGAATCGGGGGGGGGGGGGGGGGGGGGGGGGTTATTGATCGCTCAAATAAAGTGTAGATCGGGTGCGGTGGTGTGATGATGGTGTGACGCTACGCCACCATCAACAGTATGTGCATATAGCCTAATGAGATGGACCCGCGTACCAACAATACAACATGGACGTCTGAGCAGCTGTTTTATTGACATATTTATGAATAATTATAATCACAAAGACCGCATTCGTGCATACATTCACTGGGCATCCCTCATGCCGAGTACGTTGCAGGCTTGTATGGCAGGGCAGCAACCTTGTAGACAGGGGAAGAATTGTGAACAGTAGCAGGTTTGTAAGCCGGGGCAGCAGCCTTGTAGGCAGGGGCGGGGTGGTACTCGGGGTACTGGGCCTCTCCCTCGTAGGTGACCTTAGCGTTGTAACCGCCGTAGTTGTCGGCGACGTACTTGACGTGCTGGACACGTCCGTCGGGCAGAACCACCGAGTAATATCCCTGGGTGTTGTGGCCATCGCTCTCCTCCTTCTTGGCGAAGTTGGCTCCGGTGTAGTGGTCGTTGACGGCGTAGTCGTAGGCGAACGGCTTGGCCTCCTCCTTGTACTGGTACTCCGGGTGGTATGACGGGGAGTCGGGAGCCGGTGCAGCGCCGGCGGCGGCGGCCAGTGCGGCGACGACGACTAAGGCCTGGAGGCAAAAATCTAGTCTGCTATACATACTGAAATGCATTCCTGATCGGAACCGATATCGCATCTTTAAGTGCTTTTGACAAGCTTTTAATAGCTGTGTAGTTCCTGTAAACATGATTGATAGTCTGAATCATACATATCATTCATTTTGTTTGCACTCAAAAGGTGGCCACCATAGCGACCAATATCGTAGTTTTAGTTGAAACACTAATTCGCACCTTCATGCTACACGCTTTGGTGGCGGAGATTGCAGTGAAACTGATACCTTCTCTACAAAGCCTTCGCTTTTAAGCGCGAGCTCCAAGCCGCTGATGGCCTGAGGTCACGGTCCGATCCCTCCACATGCGACCGTTTGGCGATGGACCATCAGCTGGGCTCTCACGGCCACTCCCTGTTGGTCACGCCTGTCTCCGCACGCGGCGACCCCGCGGCCGCTGACCCGTCTCAGTTGGAGCAGCCTCGGGCACTTACCGCTCTCCCCAGATCCGTGACACCAAGCTGGGACGTCGCGCGGTGAGGCTTCGGAATAAATATGGAAAATCGAAACATTAGCTTACCGTATAAATCAATGACATAGCACAACTGACTGTGTAAGATGAGTACAGAAGAACATGCAAAATGATCAGCATTGCACCTCGAGTATCGTAGTGGGCGGAAAAGCCAGCTGCCTGACACAAATCTTCACTGTCTTAAGAGTGGATATGGAAATGCATGAAGAACCATGGAATCACAGCCCAGCCGTGGTGCTCATCACGATCCCACTTTTCATGCAATTCTCATGGTCCTGTTATCACGAAAGACCTGGTCCTTTCAGCACATGAGGATAAAGCTGTTTATGGCAGTTCTGTCAAAAACACTAGAGGTTTAAATCTATGAGGACAATGTACCACACATGATGGAACAGACACATAAGATCTACTGCTACAGAGATGGGCATGCTTTCAGTTTGGCCATTGTCCCGATTCTGCCGTTGCTGATTTCTGACATCTTCTGGTGCCTTTACCTGCAGCATGTACCACAGATACATTACCAGGCACCGCCATTAGTGCGAGCGTGTTGACATGCTGATAACGTGTCTGGATCTATTGTTGCAAACTACAATATGTCACGATACCATATCGTAAACTTCGTGTCGTGCCTGTGAAAAATATCAGTTTGCATCATTCATGTGAGGTAATATGACGCGAGCGATCACGGCTTTCGTGGATAGTACTTACCATGCTGACATTGGATGTCTTGTGATGAAGCCATTTTTGCTCTTAGTCACTGCAATCAAATTGCGCCCCTTCCTGGGAAAAGGCTCCTACTCTACATCAGTGCCGTGGGTGCACACGGAAATTCCCCGTCAACGTTGTGATGTGCACAACATAGCTTGGCATGATCTCCTTGATAAGACAGAAGTGTCAGCCTTATTCCTCGGGGAAACCAGGAAATGGAGATATAGTCAAGTTATCCTGGTTTTTATCCGAGGAATGAGGCTAATACTACAGTCTTTCTCATGTGAGCAACGTTCCCCGCTAATGCACTTAACAACTTACAAATGATCTCCTTGAGGTACAGAATGACTCAAAAGATATTTGCTCGAGCAGTTAAAACGCTCCTGTCCTAAATTAATGTCATGGGTACATATGCGAGCTCCCGGCCAATACTGCGATGGACACAAAGTACCCAAATGCTATCTCCTTGACATACAGGATTAAAGATACATGTGCCCATGTGACAAAAACACGTGTTTTATTTTTTCGAACTAAACAAACTTTCAGGATGTATGAAATGACCAACTACTTTTCTCAGCGTTAGTGTTCAGCTGTATGAATCGGTATGGGTCCATCTCAATCGTTTCAATACAGCTTTGAAACAGACCACTTTTGGTCACGATATGCGTTTGGAGTACCAGCGGGTGAAGGGTACATCAAACTGCATTTCCGAGTGGACAAGAAGCTCTTAGCATATTGTGTTGAAAATATGTCTAAAGAAAATGGTAGTTCTGCAGAGCGCAGAGAAGTCATGAGGAGTGATAAGTGGTCTAAAGTTCCCACACTGCTGGCTATGAACACGCCCGCCGCGATGATAAATGAAGCGATGGCTAGGAACGATGGGTAAAGAGAAGGCAGAGTGAAATATGGTAAATTATAATGAAGAAAGTGCTAGAAACGAGACAATAGCTGGGTTTATAGGAGCATGATGCGGCTTGGAGCTTGTCATCCATAAAAAGACAAGTTTAACAGATCACAACAGCACGATAGAATGGAAAGACGAAGGGGAATGTAGAAAGAGGATGGATGAATGCTTGCCTGTTCATTTCGATTCCAAATCTTTGCTCTCAATCTATACCCTTGACATTTGGTCCGTGCTTTTAAACGGCATATTGATAGGTTCACTGCATTGACCATGGATCTTGCTCCGGTTACTGGTTGTTTTGCTTCGTGCAGTAATTCGTTTTACCAGATTCATGCTGTACTCTTTTGCAAATTATACTTACAACAAAGAGTTAATTGTCGCACTGCGTGGCGGCACAGACAGCTTAAACACGTGGCAATATTAAAGCCGCTTGGAATGTGTATGTGCTTTCAAAACATGGTATTGCCTTCGTAGTGGTTTCATCCGACTAGAAAAGCTTAGCATTTTAGTGGCAAATCGGCTTGGAGTCAGCGCTCACTCCAATAAAGTGCAAAGTTGGTTCGTTGGTGTGATGATGGTGCGACGCTTACGCCACAGTCAACAGCATGTACATGAAGACTAAGGAGATAAACTGCGTACCATCAATATCAGCACAAATGCCTGAGCAGCAGGTTTATTGATATATTTCTAAATTATCGTAATCATAAGACCATATTCGTGCATGCATTTGCCGGGCATCGCTCATGCTGAGTGCGTTGCAGGCCTGTGTGCTGTGGCAGCAGCCTTGTAGACGGGGGAAGAATCGTACGCAGCAGGCTTGTATGCCGAGGTGGGATGGCCGTAAGCAGGCTTGTGGACAGGCTTGTATGCCGGGGCAGCAGCCTTGTAAGCAGGGGGCGGGTGTGGTACTCGGGGTACTGGGCCTCTCCCTCGTAGGTGACCTCAGCGTTGTAGCCGCCGTAGTTGTCGGCGACGTACTTGACGTGCTGGACACGGCCGTCGGGCAGAGCCACCGAGTAATATCCCTGGGTGTTGTGGCCATCGCTCTGCTCCTTCTTGGCGAAGTTGGCTCCGGAAGTAGTGGTCGTTGACGGCGTAGTCGTAAGCGAAAGGCTTGGCCTCCTCGTTATACTGGGGCTGTAGATGGTAAGAGGCCGGCTTGTAGGCCGGGGCAGGCCTGTACAACCGGTGTATCCGGGGCTGGGGCGGCAGCTGCAACAGCCAGCACGGCGGCAACGACGAGAGCCTGCAATGTTATAGAAAATACGTTATCAATGAGTCATTCGTTCCAGCATCTTCGTCATTTTTCCGAACACGATGTATTTGCCCTGACAAATCCCTAGCACCCGACAAGTTGCTACATCAACAATATAGCTCAAGCACATGCCTGCATGTTGTGTTTTGGTGGCCGAGTATGCAGTGAAACTGGTGCCTGCTTCTGCAGTCCTTTCGCTTTTATAGGTCGGGGCCGCCAACCACTGGTAGAAGACCACGGTCATGACCTCACTGAACGGACTGCCCCCCCCGCGCGTTGTCATCGGCTGGGCTGGTGTCAGCATGGATTGGCATGGACCCGCGGCTTCTCCATAATGCAGTCTCCACACCTGCCATGCCGTTTTGCACCCATTTAAAAAGACTGTTCCACGCCTGAAGATACTGAGGCAGGGATCAGAGCTGATGGTAAAAGCTAGCTGGTTAGGATTGTTACGCTTTGAAATGCAAAATCCACTATAGGTAACACGATTTTATTACTTAGAAAGCATGCTTTTCAATATACCATCGTTTGATTACGTCATGAACCGCTTTAACGTCATCAAAGCCTTCGACATATTTGCCGTGCTCAAGGTGCCAATATAGCGAAAAGTGACTCAGTTGTGCACCCCTACACGCCGTAAAGATGGCGTCATTTGTTTTTCCTGTGAAATTGTCGTCACAAGCATTAGTTGTGTGTCTATTTGTCCTTTTTCGCGTTTTGGTTGTATGTTCTTGAGTGATGTGATGTCTATTATTTGCATTGGTATTTTCGGTCGCGCTACAGTACCTTGATTACTAGATTATCAGGTTCATTTCTGTTATAACTTGAAGATACCTTAACGCCTGTGTAACTCATCACAAAACGCCTCCAACGATCACACGGCTCGTGTTCGAGGCACGCAATCGGCAGCGCAATCTGGCCGTTTACCAGTTGCCTTATGACGTCACACGTTCGTCATAAAAGCCAGATCCAGCAGGATGGCTTATCATGACAAATATCTCAAGGAACGTTATTTTTCTAGGTGGGTTGGAAGATATCATACCAATATGCAATATCATCCACGTTGTCCAGCTGCACGCGAGGCAAAACTTTTCCCGCACAGACCAGCACTTATCTGGTAAGAATGTCATAAGCATATACCTGTAAAAAGATATACAGCCTCCTCCACTATGTACCTCAATGCCAGCAATGTATCTGGCGTATGCGACGCAGACAAAATAAATGGGCAGACAACAGACCCACCACGTTCGCCACTGCCTTGCACCACGCTCGGCGTCACGTCCATAGAGCGCGAGGCCGTGGAAGTTCAAATTGCGCTGTAATGATTTGCCACTTGAGGCTGTCACGCACTTCATCAAGCTTGTCGTTAATTTCTGCACAATCCGCCCGCTGGTCACATACTTCTGCCACTAGGCATATTCGTTATTGGTACCAAGGAAGTCCTATGTTCCTGCCGCCCATTTGCGTAAAAGACTGGTGTGTGAGCCTTCACTTCTCACGTCACTGGATTTCAGTGTATTGTTGCATGGACTTGCAAAGTCTATGATCATATTTGCCACATAATTCTACGTTACTGACTCGCTGATTATATGTGCATTCCTCTATCGGCTTGTTCACTATCTACACGAATGTTCCTAGTTTCCTTGTCTCTCAGCATTACGTCCGGGGTCTAACGGCCTGCCGTGCATTGAAATCCTGGCACCAGTAACATCACGCTTAAGTTAAGCGATGATAAAGCGAGAGTCACCGGGCGGCTTTACCTCTCTTATTCCGGCATGTTTCCGGTGAAAATATGTTGTTAACTGGTTACATTTGCTCTCACCTTGTTACAAACCTTTCCATGCTCTCACCATGTTACAAACAGTAAGTACATTCGTATATAATGACAGAATAACAAGTATGAGATAATAAGGCTTTGAGGTAGAATTCTTCGAGAGAGCCCAGATTTCGCTTACATCACATGCGGGTATTATCATTTTAACCCTAGTTAGGTAAGTGACGATATCATCCGCACTTAATGTGACGCATGCCGTTATGTGTGACGTCGATACATTTCACAAGGTCACGATTCACGTTTGACAAGGTCAGTTAGTAGCTTAATTAGCTGAACAACACTTTGAAGCCAAGAATGCGTATTCATGCAAGTGCCTGGACGGTCAGTTTCCGTTTCCACCCGTGCTTTTATAAGGAACGGTGTGTGTGTGGGGGGGGGGGGGGAAGGGCCTGCTAACGACATGACCGATCTAAATTTGTATTCTCTTACTTCCACACTATATAAATGCTCCCAAATTACAATTGTTTCTCTTCGGACTTAATCCACTTTATAATACATTCTATCGGATAAAAAACGATCAAAATTGTACGAATTGGATGCACTATGATCAGTCCAAAGAAGGGCTAGGCCGCGAGCTGTCAGTTGGGCATGGGAATGAGGCATAACTTGTTCCAATGCAAAGTTCTAAGCGATACAATCGTCTTGCATCGTAAGCTATGTGTTCTTAGCCATTTTTCCCCCAACTCAGCTGTTAAAGTTAGATGATCTCTCCACATGCAACGTCATGGGTGTGCTGGAATGATATGTGCTGGAATGATACCACTGATATGGTGTCCTGTTGGATATTAGACAGTCTATTTCACACCAAGTACGCTGTGGGATTCGCGATGTGGCTGAAATTGCACAGATCTTTCGCATCAAAACTGCGTTATTAAAAGGACCGCCTGATCCATCACATATCCTCTACTGCATTGCAGGTCCTCGTCATTGCCGCCGTGCTGGCTGTCGCCGCCGCCGCCCCATCTCCGGATATGCCGGGCTACAAGCTCGCTCCGGCCCCCTACCACCCGGCTTCCCCCCATAAGCCGGCCTCTTACCGACCGGGGTTCCAGTACAAGGAGGAAGCCAAGCCGTTCGCCTACGACTACGCTGTCAACGATCACTACACCGGTACCAACTTCGCCAAGAAGGAGGAGAGCGATGGCCACAACACCCAGGGATATTACTCAGTGGCTCTCCCCGACGGCCGTGTCCAGCACGTCAAGTACGTCGCCGACAACTACGGCGGCTACAACGCTCAGGTCACCTACGAGGGAGAGGCCCAATACCCCGAGTACCACCCCGCCCCTGCCTATAAGGCTGCTGCTCCGGCCTACAAACCTGTCCACAAGCCTGCGTACAGCCATGCCGCCCCGGCATACAAGCCTCTGGCATACTAGTCAAACAGTGAGACTGACCATCTGTTGAAACTCACGAATATTGAGTTGCGATGATTTCTTGCCGTTTGAAGTTCAATACAATGAGGTGCTTAAGCCATGTGGTCTGGACGCAAGCCTCCAAAGTTATGATACGCCTGCTTAGCCTGCTTATAGCAATTCCGCTCCGGCATATGAGCTTGGCGACGGACAAGTCACAGCATGAGAGCGGTTGCTCATTTAAATCCATTAATAGTTTCGTGACAATGATTGTCGTTTTCTTCACCTGCGTTACGTAAATACAAAGATTCGTCCGAGTCACGCGGTTTTTACCGAGGTAATCTTCGGTTTTTCATCAAAATGTCTCTCGTCCGGCTGTGAGAAAAGACGTTCGCATGAACCGAAGCTTAAAACCACAATGCTGTTTAAAACAACTAGCTATGTCCTCTCATGGATGGCTAGTGCTTACAGCGCGTCATCTTTGTAATCTTCCACAATTTTCGGTAAATTGTAGAAGGATTCAACACATTTTTCGGAAAGAAAACTGTCAATTATAAATACAAGGTGGTGTCCTGTATAATCATTACGCTGAAACTACTTGACATGTAGATATCAACACATGGTCTAATAAAGGCCTCTGACCCGCAACCGTCTGAAGGCTGAGAAAATGCTGTCCCTTGTTGTTAGAGCGACACCCAAGTTGTGCTAAAAAGTAAACTAAGTTTACAAAAGCGTCGCCAGGTGATTAAGCTGCCACGTTAGGTGGAAATTGGGTTCTGGATGTTCAATTGGGTCATGGGGTCATGGTGTCCGCTGTGAGGGTTTCTTGAGACATTTTCGTTTCCACTTGCAAAAATGCCCAAATTTCTTTGTCTTCAAGTGTTTTAAACGCGCATTCGGGTGGGAGTCAAATTGACCGCCCAAAAGGTCTTCCGAAATGGCTTCCGAACGGCACGTTGAAGCTGCTCAAAATTTTGGTAGCTGTAGACAATGTAATAGTAAATTGTCTGACACCAAAAATTGGGACATGCTTTGTAAGGTCACTGATCTACGGCAGATCAAATTCAGGTCATGGCTTCAGCGAAGCCAATTCTAGAGAATCATTCAATCTGATGCAACAACGGAGCGTTAGACACAGCCATAAAATATCTGAGATACTTTCTTATGCTGCACAACAATTGAATGAACAAGTTTTATCGACCTAGGGTCAGGTATGAATGTGAGACCAAGGTGAAAACCAGCCTGCTTTATTACTCCAGTGCTTGCTGTATGGCGTGGTTTCTGGTGCTAATTTTGAATTTATTGATAACAGAAACGGTATTATACATCTTTCGTATACTTTTTATAGGTCAAAATAGGTCATTGACCTGCTGGCTGGGGCTGAAGAGTGTCACACCTACCGAATACCTGGCCAAACGAAGCTAGCCTGCAGTCAACACGTGTGACGGATTGACGAGTTCTCGCACAGAAGTGTTTGTTTTCACGCTTTCACCGGTCTTTCATGAAAGGCGTTGTTGTTTAAAAACTCATTACATGCCTAGTGATCATTAGCTTTGTAAAACATTTAGGTAGGTTTTCGAAGTCGTGTCACTAAAACTCCCACCCTGGAAAAGGCATGGTTGCTTGTTTTAAGATCCCATGTTCTCAGCAGTTTTTTGACTTAATATAAAACAGTTCAGGTCACCATAATATCATAACTCAACACTCCTGCTCTTAAAAAAACCGGTTGTTCTCAGCATTCTTGAGGCTTGCGCAGCTTTGCGCAGGCTCCTGTGCAAAAACGGGAAAACTGCAAGCATACTTCTGGACAGTCTTGTGATCCGGAGCTGCAGCCTTGTAAGCGATGGAGGAGGGGCTCTCGGGACGATTGGCTTTCGTGGTGAAACAGCCAGAGATCACCACTTGCTGCAACAAAGTGGGTGTGGAACTCTGCGGATCGTGCGAAGGCTACGCCACCATCAAACACATGTAGTTATACATCTACCCCAACGAGAATAACTGCTTGCCTTCAGAGACAACAAGAAAGTCTGAGTAGCACATTGTATTCAAATACAACCATTTAGAAGACATCATAACAAAACGTGTATTCGCTTAAATAGGCGGTCGTTCTCAGTATTTGATTAATATGCCGCAGACTTGTATGGCGGCACGGGAGAGCTGTAAGCAGAATTGAAGACAGGCTTGTGAACCGGAGCAACAGCCTCGTAGGCAGGGGCGGGATGGTACTCGGGGTACTGGGCTTCTCCCTCGTAGGTGACCTCAGCGTTGTAGCCGCCGTAGTTTGTCAGCGATGTACTTGACGTGCTGGACACGGCCGTCGGGCAGAGCCACCGAGTAATATCCCTGGATGTTGTGGCCATCGCTCCTCCTCCTTCTTGGCGAAGTTGGTACCGGTGTAGTGGTCATTGACGGCGTAGTCATAGGAGAAAGGCTTAGCCCCCTGCGTGTACTGGGGCTCCGGGTGGTAAGAGGTTGTCTTGTAGGCCGGGGCGGACTTGTACACCGGTGCCTCCGGAGCTGGGGCGGCAGCTGCAACAGCCAGCACGGCGGCAACGACGAGAACCTGCAATGTCATAGAAGACATGTTATCAATGAGTCGTTGATTCCACCACCTTTATTATTTTCCGACCATGATGCATTTGATGGAAAAATGTCTAGCACGGGACAAAATTGCCACATCAACCACATAATTCAAGCACGTGCCTGCATGCTGTGTTTTGGTGGCCGAGTGTGCAGTGCAACTGATGCCTGCTTCTGCAGTACTTTCGCTTTTATAGGCCGGCCGCCAACCATTGATGGAAGGCCACGGTCATTACCTCACTGAACAGACTACCCCCACGTGTTTGCCATCGACCGTGCTGGTGCCGCCACGGACTGACATGGACCCGTAGTCACTACCTCATACACGCACCACTCCTGACATGCGATTTTGTGCCCCTTAAAACAACTGTTCCACATCTGAAGATATTGAGGTGGGCACCAGTTATAATGGTAAAACTCATTTGTAAGTGTTGTTATGCGTCGAAGGGCAAAGGACTGCTGTAAATAGCACAATTTCATTATTCAGTAATTATGCTCCTTTATGCGTCATCTTTGAATACGTTGCAGACCGTTTTTTACGTCATTAGAGTCTTCACCAGAGTTGCCTTGCCAGAGGTGTACCACTATAGCGGAAAGTGACTCACTTATGTACTTCTGCTTGCCGTAACGATGGCGTCGTTTGTTTAGGTGAGGAAATTTTGGTGCAAGCGTTAGTTGTGAGACATGCAAGCGGCAGCGCAATCTGGCTGTTTGCCATTTGCCTTATGACGTCATACGTTTACCATAGGAGCCAAGTTCAGCCAGATGATGCGTCACCACCTATGTCTCTATGAACGTCACAGGTTTAGGCAGGTAGGCAAGTACCCTACCAATACAAAATGTCATCCACCTTACCTAACTACGTGCAAGTCAAAACGTGTCCTGCACAGACACTTATCTGGTAAAAATACCGCACGTCTATACGTACAAAAAGCGTATGGAGTATCTTCCACAACGCACCGCACTTGCCGCCAATGTATCTGGCGCACTTAGAGCAGACAAAACAAAATACAGCAGACAATAGACTCGGCCGCGCTTACCACTTCCTCACATCACTGACGGCGTCCCATCCACAGGGCTCGAGGCCATGCAAATTCGAACTACATTGTAATAGCTTGCCCCTTAAAGTTGTCACGTACTTCATCAAACTGGCCGATGAGTTCTACGCTGTCGGTCCGCTGGTCACCTATGTCTGCCACCACGTTTATTCGCTCTAAGTATGAAGGTAGCCCGATGTTCCTGCTACCCCCAATGGGAATAAAACTGGTTGCCTCCACTTCTTGTGCCATTGCATTGTAACAGCTTGCCATATGGGCTTGCACGTCCTGTCGTCATATCTGCCTACAAACTTCTACGTTACTGGCTTGCTGGTCATATGCACATTCTCAATTGGTCTTTTCACTATCCGCACGAAAGTGTCTGGTTTCCGTTTGCCTCTCAGCGTGACGTGCGGAGACTAGCGTCCTGACATACGTCATGGCACGCATCGAAGCCTAGGCACCAGCAACGTCACACTGACGTTAAACGAAGATGGAGGTGAAAGTCACCATACGGTTTTACCTCTCTTATTACGTATTGTTCCGATGTAGATATGGCATAAGTAAGGTATATTTTTTCTCATCTTGCTTCCATCTTTTCCAGTAAACATTTCCATCAACACTTTCTAACCGCTTCCTCACCAACTTCTTTGCACATTTCCTAAAGTTTTTTAAGAGATGGTAATGACATCAGTTTTTGATACATCTTAAGAACTTATTTTACTGTCACCTTTCAACTCATGCCATAACGTTAATTAATCTACCAAGCTGTGGGAATCTGATGTGAACTTTTTCATGATAAACGTCTATCGCGTCAAAACATTTCAGTTGCGCTTAAGTTTGATTAACCTTTTATTAGAAGCATGGTCTACCTTCGTGCGAAAAAACTGAACACCATAAAATGCCTGAGATAAGAAGACTTTGAACTAGAATTCTTGGGTAGGACTAAGACGTCGCTTACATCACATCAGGATATTGTTACCTAAGGCATAGTTATGTAATTGGGAACATAATCCGCAGTTGAAAATGACGTAGGCCGATAAGTGTGGCATCCATGCGTTTGAACAGGACACGGTTCATGTCCGTGAAAGTCAACTGAAAGCTTAAATAGCTCTTAAAAACATTTCAAATCCAAGGATACATATATCCACAGCTGTTTGGACGGCCAGTTTCCGTTCCCGCCCGCGCTTTGGTTAGAAATGCTCTGTAGGAGGACATCTTGATGACATGACCGATCTCAGATATCCATTCTCCTACCTTCATACCACACCTATGCTCCCAAATTCTGAACTACCCGCCATACCCGGGTGATGACACCAAAACTGACGTGATGGGTTGTGATCCCATGGACCAAAACGCGACTGGATCTCGGTCAGAACAGCTGTCAGCTGGAGATGAGAGGAAGAAAAAGTGCTCATACAAATAGTTCTGGGTTGTTGGCATGATTGCTTAGGGTTCAGGGTATTACCAAAAAAGGTCGACATGAAACTGCTGCATCATGAAATACACATCCTTTGCCATATGTCTTCTAACTCACCTGCAAAAATCAAACGATCTGCCCATATACATCATGCATCACATTATGGTCAACTCCTTAGAGGTGGGCATGTACAAGGAATTCCGTGCGAATTGGTCAGGGCAGCCGGTGACACCGTTGGAGGCATCCGTTCACTGGAATCTGACCGTGACCTTCTGTCAGTGGTTAGCGGCCGACCTATAAAAGCGAAAGCACCAAGGGAGCAGACATCACTTGCACTGTACACACAGCTGTCGGAGCACAACATGCAGGTTTGTACTGGAATCATGCCATTGATATGATGCCTGCTGGTTACTAGAGTTTATTTTAAGCCATGTACATTCTTGACTTAGCGATGCGACATGCATTGCACCGAGGGTGAGGTTGTGAGATATATCGTAGCAAAACTGCGTCATTAAAATGACCGCCTGATCCGTCATATATCCTGTACGGCATTGCAGGGCTTCGTCATTGCCGTCGTCCTGGCCGTCGCCGCCGCCGCCCCGGCACTGGAGACGCCGGGCTACAAGCCCACTCCGGCCCCCTACCACCCGGCCCCCTCCTACAAGCCGGCGTCTTACCACCCGGGGCCCCAGTACGAGGAGGAGGCCAAGCCGTTTGCTTACGACTACGCCGTCAACGACCACTACACCGGCACCAACTTCGCCAAGAAGGAGGAGAGCGATGGCCACAACACCCAGGGATATTACTCGGTGGCTCTGCCCGACGGCCGTGTCCAGCACGTCAAGTACGTCGTCGACAACTACGGCGGCTACAACGCTGATGTCACCTATGAGGGAGAGGCCCAGTACCCACAATACCACCCCGCCCCTGCCTACAAGGTTTCTGCACCTGCCTATAAGGCTGCCGACCCAGCATACAAGCCTGTCCTTAAGTCTGCGTACAGCAATGCCGCCCCGCCTGCGACATACTAGTAACGGGGTTAGAACAGGTGCTTAGTTGTGTACATTTAGGTTTTCGTCATGATGATTTTCGTTTCTTGCCTTGCGGTACGTGAATAAAAGATTCGTTCGAGGTATGCGGTTTTGACGGAGGCAATCCCACGCCTTCCACCTGATCCAGATGTCATCCGACTCTGACAATTTTTTTTTTTGTAAACCGACGCTAAGCGACAACAGCAACATTTATAATGACAAGTAAGCAATGTTCTTTGGCGGACTGCTGATGATTACAGCGCTTCATGTTTGCAGACTTCGTACATTTTCGTTGACATTGTAGAGAAATTCAACATAAGCTTGTATGAAAAAGTTTCTGTCATCACTACAAGCGGTGTGCTATGAAAGCATCACAGCTAAAACTTACTGATATGGGGCAACCAGCACATTGTCTTATTAAACACCTCTGACCCGCGACCGCCTAAGGGCTGAACACATCTTCTACCTCGTTGCTGGACGACGCCTAAACCGTGCCAAGCAAGTACACTACGTTTTCCAGCGCCACGGGCGGTCAAGTTGTCATGTTGTTTGGTTATGTGGCTCTCGATGTCTGCGTGGGTTACGGAGTCATGACGACTACCGTTAAGGCTCGCAAGATATTTTCGCCCCCACTTGCAAAAACCGGTGGGCGTGTACCAGGAATTCCGTGCGAATTCGTCAGCGCAGCCGGTGACACCGTTGGAGGCGTCCGTTCACTGAAATCTGACATAACCGTCCTATCAGTAGGCTAGCGGCCGACCAATAAAAGCGAAAGCACCAAGGGAGCAGACACCACTTGCACTGCACACCCGGCCTTCAGAACACACCATGCAGGTGAGGGCTGGAATAATACCATTGATATGGTGTCCTGTTGGCTATGAGACAGTTCATTTCACACCAAGTGCACTCTGGGATTCGCGATGTGACTGAAATTGCACAGACTACTTCGCATCAAACCTGTGTCATTAAAGTAACCGCTTGATATATCACACATTCTCTACTACATTGCAGGTCCTCGTCGTTGCCGCCGTGCTGGCCGTCGCCGCCGCCGCCCCGGCACCGGAGACGCCGGGCTACAAGCCCGCTCCGGCCCCCTACCACCCGGCCCCTTCCTACAAGCCGGCCTCTTACCATCCGCAGCCCCAGTATAAGGAGGAGGCCAAGCCGTTTGCCTACGACTACGCTGTCAGCAATCACTACACAGGCACCGACTTTGCCAAGAAGGATGAGAGCGATGGCCACAACACCCAGGGATATTACTCGGTGGCTCTGCCCGACGGCCGTGTCCAGGACGTCAAGTACGTCGCCCGACAACTAGGGGCGGCTACAACGCTGAGGTCACATACGAGGGAGAGGCCCAGTACCCCGACTACCACCCCGCTGCTGCCTATAGGGCTGCTGCTCCGGTCTACAAGGCTGTTCACAAACATGCGTACAGCCATTCCACCCCGGCACACAAGCCTCTGGCATACTAGCCAAACAGTGAGGACGACCATCTCCATGGAAGTTCATGAAGACCATGGAAGCTCACGAATTTTGAGTTGTGATGATTTCTCGCCGTTTGCACTTCAATACAATGAGGTGCTTATGTCTTGTGGTCCGGACGCAAGCCTCCAAAGTTGTGGTATGCCTGCTTGGCCTGCTTATAGCAATTCGGCTCCGGCATATGAGCCTGCGACGTGCAGGTCACGGGATGAGAGGCGGTTATTCATTTAAATCCATTAATAATTTCATGATGATGATTGTCGTGTCTTGAGCTGCGTTACATAAATACAAAAATTGTCCGAGTCGCGCGGTTTTGACGGAGGTAATCCTACGTTTTTCGTCAAAATGTCTCTCATCCGGCTGTGAGAAAAGACGTTCGCATGAACCGAAGCTCAAAACCACAATGCTATTTAAAACAACTAGGTTTGTACTGTCATGGATGGCTAGTGCTTAGAGCGCGTTATCTTTGCAACCTTGTACAATTTTCGGTAAATTGTAGAATATTTCAACATATTTTTCCAAAAGAAAACTGTCCATTGTGAATACAGGGGATGTCCTGTAAAATCATTACGCCGAAACTGCTTGACATGTGGAATATCAGCACATGGTCATATAAAACGCCTCTGACCCGCAACCGTCTGAATGCTGAGAAAATGCTGTCCCTTGTTGTTATAGCGACCCCCAAGTTGTGCTAAATAAGTACACTACGTTTACAATGTCGCCAGGAGATCAAGCTGCCACGTTAGGTGGAAAATAGGCTCTGGGTGTTCGGTTGGGTCATAGGGTCATAGTGCCCGCTGTGAAGTTTCTCGAGACATTTTCGTTTCCACTCGCAAAAATGCCCAAATTTCGTCGTTGTCTTCACGTGTTTTTATACGTATTCGGGTAGGGGTCAACTTGACCGCTCAAGAGGTTCTCGAAATGGCTTCCGAACGGCACGGTGAAGCCGCGCAAAGTTTTGATGGCTGTAGACAATGTGATAGTAAATTGCCTGACAACAAAAAATGGGATATACGTTGTAAGGTGGCCGATCTACGGCAGATCAAATTCAGGCCATGGCTTCAGGCGAAGTCAATTTCTAAAGAATCATTCAATCTGATGCAACAACGGAGTGTTAGGCACAGCCATATATCTCTGAGATACTTTCTTAGACAGCACAACAATTGAATGAACAAGTTTTATCGACCTAGGGTCAGGTATGAATGTGAGACCGAGGTGAAAACCAACCTGCTTTATTACTACTCCAGTGCTTGGCTCTATGGCGTGGTTTCTGGTGCTAATATTGAACTTATTGATAACAGGAACGGTATTATATATCTTCCATATACCTTTTATAGGTCAAAATAGGTCGTTGACCTAAATAATCCAGGTCAAAGTTTTATTTTTAGAGCATAGTGATAGCATGATGCTTGTCACTTGTTCAAATGCAGGGCAGTCTTAGCAGTCGTAACAGCTAAGACTGACACGCTTTTACAGACACGCACGGTTTTACTTCTCTTTACTTCACACGGACACGCACGGTTTTACTTCTCTTATTGCACATCGTTCCGATGGGAACATAATCCGCAGTTTGAAAATGGCGTATGCCGATAAGTGTGACATCCACACATTTGAACAGGACACGGTCATGTCTGTAAAAGTTAACTGAAAGCTTAACCAACTCTTGAAAACAGTTGGAAACCAAGGATATATAAACACGCAGATGATTGGACGGCCTGTTTCCGGTTGCCGCCTGCGCTTCTGTTAGAAATGACCTATAGGAGGACATCTTAATGACATGACCAATCTCAGATATCCATTTCTCCTACCTTCATATCATAGCTATACTCGCAAATTCTGATTTCTCCATAAATTTAACCCACTTTATAACTACTTTCGGATGAAAACGATCAAAAATGAAGCGATGGGTTGCAATTCGATGGGACCAAACGTGACTGGATCGCAGTCAGAACAGCTGTCAGTTGGGGATGGGAGCAAAAAGTAAAGTGCTCATACAAATGCTTCTAGGCTCTTGGTATGACTGCTTAGCTTTCAGAGTGTTGCCAAAAAAGATGGATATGATCCTGCTGCGTCATAAAATATACTTTCTTTACCATATATCTTCTACCTCACCTGCAAAAATTAAACGATCTGCCCATGTACATTATGCGTCACATTATGGTAAGCTCCTTAGAAGTGGGCGTGTACAAGAATACCGTGCGAATTCGTCAGCGCAGCCGGTGACACCGTTGGAGACGTCCGTTCACTGGTATCTGACCGTGACCGTCTATCAGTGGTTAGCGGCCGACCTATAAAAGCGAAAGCATCAAGAGAGCAGACACCACTTGTACAGCACACCCAGCCATCAGAACACACCATGCAGGTATGTACTGGAATAATGTCATGGATATGATGCCTGCTGGTTACTAGACAGTTTATTTCAAGCCATGTACACTCTGGCCTTAGCGATGTGACATGCATTGCACAGAGGGTGAGGTTGTAAGATATATCGTAGCAAAACTGCGTCACTTAAATGACCGCTTGATCCGTCATACATCTTCTACGGCATTGCAGGGCTTCGTCATTGCCGCCGTGCTGGCTGTCGCCTCCGCCGCCCCGGCACCGGAGACGCCGGGCTACAAGCCCGCTCCGTCCCCCTACCACCCGGCCCCCTCCTACAAGCCGGCCTCTTACCACCCGGAGCCCCAGTACAAGGAGGAGGCCAAGCCGTTTGCTTACGACTATGCCGTCAACGACCACTACACCGGCACCAACTTCGCCAAGAAGGAGGAGAGCGATGGCCATAACACCCAGGGATATTACTCGGTGGCTCTTCCCGACGGCCGTGTCCAGCACGTCAAGTACGTCGTCGACAACTACGGCGGCTACAACGCTGATGTCACCTACGAGGGAGAAGCCCAGTACCCCGAGTACCACCCTGCCCCTGCCTACAAGGTTTCTGCACCTGCCTATAAGGCTGCCGCTCCGGCCTACAAGCCTGTCCATAAGTCTGCTTACGGCAGTGCCGCTCCGGCATACAAGCCTGCGACATACTAATAACGGGGTTACAACGGGCTCCTATTTGTGTACCTTTAGGTTTTCGTCTGATGATTTTCGTCTCTTGCCTTGCGGTACGTGAATAAAAAGATTCGTTCGAGTCATGCGATCTTGACGAAGGCAATCCCACGCCTTCCACCTGATCCAGATGTCATCTGACTGGGACAAATATCTTTATAAACCGACGATAACGACAACAACATTTATAATGACAATTAAGCAACTTTCTTTGGTGGATTGCTGATACTTACAGAGCTTCATGGTTGCAGGCTTCTTAAATTTTCAGCATCATTGTAGAGAAATTCAAAATGCTTGCCTGGAAAAAGTTTCTGTCATCACTACATGCGGTGTACAATGAAAGCATAACGCTAAAACTTCCTGATATGGGGCAATCAGCACATTGTCTTATTAAACACCTCTGACCCGCGACAGTCTAAGTGCTGAACACATCTTCTTCCTCGTTGTCGGACGACGCCTAA